TGGATTTCAGTATTCTCTTGAGCCGAGCTTAGGGAAATAGCAGTATGGGAATAGACAGCAAACAGACTTCCTTTGACTCTAAAGGCAGGTGAAAATGCCYTGACATCTTACGCAGTCACAGCACAATTGAGTGCACTCATTATCACCATTCCTGCAGACTGTATCACCCTGGGTATGCAGATTGCAATTAATATCTGTGCTTTCTCAATAGTTCAGGAAAAAGCTCTTCTGCTGTCATACACCACAGAGAATAGTTACTATTTTTCACAAGCTGCAGTTTGCTGTGGGAAAACATTTCACACAGAAACCTAGGAAACAGGAGAACTTGCTGTAACACAGYAACTAATCGGAAGAGTCGTGTTTGAATCTGTTGTTTTCTTGTCGTTGTTTTCATATATAATAATACTTTGTTGCCCTTCATGTTCACAGTCAAAATATGTGCTGAGTCAAAAATCAAGAAGGATCTATAAAAGGGAATTGACTCTAAATGTGGATGCTAAACTTGGTGAGAATTCCTTACATAATGATAATTTTAATTTCCAGTCAGAAATGTACCAAGACCAAACCATTTGCTTTTAGCCCTTTTCATTTGTAGCCTATTGTTGCTCCCTCATTACTGCACTGTTCTATGCTAGAGCAGTAAATCTGGAGACCTAATGGTGCACAAGCCCCTCTGAGGACAGCACTGACTTTTAAAATATTCATTTCTATGCGGATCAGGGATATCCCAGTCTGGCTGTAATCGGAGRAAGAAGGAAGGAGACAAATAATCACTGAACATGACTGTTTAGGGAGCAATTTCTGTCAAAAAAACAATCAATGGTGAAGGTGGGTATGAGCTGGCCTTGCACCCCCAAGCACAAGAAAGATGTGGGCTTGTTTSATACCCATAATGGTATAATTGCTCCTTTCTGTGCCTTCATCCTCTAGCCAGCTGCTTTTCCTTGCTCTGCCGGCATGCCTGTTGTTTYTCTCTGTGAACTGCTGAGTAATGTCAGGGTAGAGGACAGTGCCAGACTGACAGCAGTGGCATCTGCACTTCTTTATTTATACCCAGGGTGCAGGTGTAGCACAGCCCTGGCGCTGCCCCGTGCTGCACTAGTGAGACTGGGGCCTGACCTGCAGGGACACAGCACCAGACGGAGGAGCCTTCAGGGCAGTTCACTTCTTTGTTGTTATTCTATTTGTCAGAGTGATGCCAGCTGTGGGAGTGAATTGTGTGTTCAGGAAAAATCAGTACATCTTTGCTTCCAGCCAGTGATCACGCAGAGATCAGCTCGTAGCCTGAGTTGTTCAAAATGGAATAGACCTTTGTGCTGTGAAATCAGTTTGAAGAAAGTTTTTGGCCTCTGCAAGTTGAATGGACTACAAAATTTATTGAGTCATCAGGTAGTAATGTTCCTACCAAYGTTAATCTGAAACTTAGAGCATGGGATGGGCTGCATAGCCCTGGAATAATGTCTTGTGCCATCCAAACACATYGAAGTGTCTTGGTGAAAATGATTTAAGCTAACATGTTGTACCTTGTGGCAAGCAGCTAAAAGCATGTGCAGATCTCTGCAGAAACATATTAAGTTGCAGCAGTTTTGTTGCATGCCTCAGTCCTGTATTTTATCCACACAGAGGCATAATTCCCATCTGCTGTTTCTTCTTTTAGCACTTCAGGATAACAACACTGGTAAAGTGTTATGCCCATCATATCTCCTTATCTGAGGAAGATCTCTAGAATTTTTGCGGAGAAACATTTAAACATTCATTCTGATAGCAAAGGAAATACAAACAAAAATCGTGTAAACTCACTTCTGACTGTCTGTCAAAAAAAATGAAACAGAGGCCACAGCAACTCCAGAGCTAGCTCAGCCAAGCAATGTCGCATAAAAAATTAAAGAGAAAGCTTTATTTGGATCATGTCTGTATGTAGGTCACAATGACTTAAAAGAGAAGGCACTGACCAGACAAAAACCTTTCAAAATGCCATTCCTGTAAGAGAATGATTCTTCCAATTTTCTCAAAATAAAAGACTGAAAATTATTATTGAAAGGATTTCACTGTTCAGAGCCATTTCAGTTTCCAGTGTTGCTGGTTTCAGTGCTGCAGCTAGAGACGGAGCAGACGAGGAACCGCTCTAGTCATGCTCTCAAGCTGCCTGTCTSCTGCTTGCAGGCCTACCCCGTGCACAGCCTGTCCAAAGCTGGATCAAGCCATTGCTCTTCCTGACTTACTGTGCTGTGACTACCGCAACTAAATCAATCCCAGGTTGATCATCCCTCCAGAGGAGTAAAGAAAGAGATGTGAGTCACCTTCAGCTACCCTTCACCTTAGCTCCCCATAGCAGTCTACATGTCTAGTTTCCCTTAATCCATCATCACAGAATCTGGACAAAAACCATCTTGTGTCACTCCTGCCTTTGCCTGCCTCCCACTGACCATCACTGGCTACTCTTATGTGCAAGAATTACCTAAAGCTGGGGTAGCATAGACACAGTCTATGCTTTTCTGAGAAAACTAGTTTTCATCTTTGAGGAGCCTAAGCAGAGAAAGAAAAGCAAATCTTTAATCTAGTCCTCTGGTCTACTCCTGTGCAAGAGCTAGAATAGTGGCGTACAGGAATGATCTGCGAAGTCCTCCCTTCAGGAGGGGGAGCTGGAAGCAGCGATGCAGCTGCCAAGAGCTGGGGCACAAAAGGTCTAAGTGCCTGTAGCCAAAGAGCTGTTAGTGGCACTTGAGTGATGCTGTGTGGCAACAGTCTGGAAAGAAAAATCAAAACAAGCAAAAGCATAAAGGGAGTCTAAATGTACAAATCACTTCTAGAACAGTCATATAAAAAAAAGCAGATCAGTGGTCTTGAAAACAACAGAGATCAATTAATTTTCCTTTTATTTTTTGTTTCAAAATGCACATTATGTACCCAGATTCTGCATCACTGTAAAGGGATATTCATTTGTTTGATTAGCAAAATTTAATTGTGCTTGGAGGGAGCAATGACTGTAAGGCATATTGCTTTAAAGTGAGTCATCTTTTCACAACTGGTTTAGACTTTTGAGAGAAATATGCTTTCAGAGGATGTTCCTTCTCATTTTTTTTATTCTTATTTTTATTGTTTTTTTTTGTTGTTTTATCAAAATACTGTTCTGAACAGTGCCATTCAAAATTTTTTGCACTATATTTGCCAAGAAGCTAAGAATTTTGGCAAACTAACTTTTCCAAAGTTCACATGCATAGTAATAACAAAAAAAAGCGATGACTATTTTGAATCCTTGAAAACAGAATTCACTTTATAAACGGTTTAAAATATGTACATTATTTTCTCGGTATGTTCCAAGTATTTTTTTAGAAGAGATGGAACACATAGTTGCATCTTTTTTGCTTGGGTTTCCCTGCCATGTTGAGTTGATCTCATTTGTGGACAAGTTTTTTTTCATTTTGCTCATGATTAGTTAAGAAATGCTTGATTCCCTTGTCCACATAGACATAATCTAGCTTGGAAGGGACTTCCAGAGATCATCTAGTCCAGCCCTCTGTTCAAAAGAGATCTAATTGGATCACTCAGGACCATGTCCAGTCAATCCTGCTTGCTCCAAGGGTGAAGATTCCAGAGGCTCTCTGGACAGCCTTTCAAGCAACCTCAGAGTGAAAACTAATGCCTGGTATTGAATCAGGATCTCTTATCTTCCCACTTGTGTCCTTTCCCTCTCTTCCTTATCCCTGTACCACTCCAAGAAGAGTCTAACTCCATCTTCTCTCCAGCCTTCAGTTCCTCAGGCAATTGCAGATAAGGTCTCCCCTTTGCCTTCATTTCTCCAAGCTGAGCACGTCCTGTTCTTTTACGTTCTCCGTGTCACAGCCTTAGGTATGTAGCATTTCCACAGCTGACAAGAGGAAAACTAGGCGTAAAAATATAAGCAAAAGAGATTTAATAGTATACGAATAGTTTTAGGTTTTAGTTGCTGTGTTTTGCAGAGTGCTTTATTGCTGATTCYAATATCACTTAGTGGGAGACAAGCCTCAGTTTTAGATTAGCTCTAGTTTTTGCAATATGTTAGCCTTTTGCTACCTTCTTCTATTATATGTCCTTTCAGAGCAACTCTTGTCTTTTATTGGGTTCATTTTGTTTCTTTCCTATTCCATCTGGCAAAGGGAAAGTCGTGAAATACTTAACTTACAAAGCACTGCAGCAGACTGAAATGAGCCTAATGCTCAAGAGGTGAATGGAGATGAAGAAGTGATATTTATATCTCTTCAAATAATTATGTGAGCCTGCCTGTTTTGTAGGCTCCAGACTGCAGCAAGGGAGGGGTTTACATCTGACATACCTTGCAGACCTGTGCTGATGGCAGCTGCTCACAGCAGTCATTGCAATCAGCTTAAAGCAAGAGCTAATWTTCAGGTGTCCTAAGTAGCAGAGCCTTTTTCTGCCTTAGCAAGCTCAGAAGGGAGTTTTTAAGATATAGTCTGGATTTGCCACTRTACTATGTTTGCATGCAGGAGTCGTTGAGTGTCTTATTTAGCATGAACCTTTTCTACCAAGGAACAAAGTTAGAAATTCAAGCCCAGGGAAGGCAAAAGACAGCCCTGGCTGAACTAAGGCAACATTGCCTTTCAAGGCAGTCAGTCATTCGTAACCAGAAGCCAGACGTGGCCCCTTTGTGTTAGCACTGAGTAAATGCAAGAAAAAATGATGGTGGGTTGTTCACTGAATCCCCTCAGGTGCTTCTAGCAAAAGGTGGGCTGGAGGCTTGTCAATATATTAATCTGTCTTGCAGTTTAATAAATAGTATAAAAATTCCAGCACTGTGCAGGAAGAGCTAACACCTCTTGATCTCTTTAAATCTCCTGGCTTTCAGAACACAAGCTTTAACTAACCTTGTAAGCTACAGGTTTTTGCACAGAAATCCATCTGTGGTATATTTGAATTTGCCACTAGGAAGCAGAGCTGAAGGTTAATCACTAGATGGCAGCATGGTTTGTGACACAAACTTCTCTACCTACCTGATTTTTCAGAGGCTGCTCTGAAGGCCCTGCCCATCCCTGGAGAAACGTGCCCAGGAGTTCAGCTGGTTTCAGAACCCCTTCAGTTCAGCGCTCAACAGGGAAGCTGCGACAGTAAGTCCAGTTTAGGTACAAATAAAATTGACTTTTATTGTACTTCAGGAAGAGAAATACACCTCTCTGCACACACTTTCACTTTGTCAGCACAATAAACCTGCATCATTTTTTTTTAGTGTGGTATGTTATAAACACATTGCTAGCATAGGAGAAATGCACTCAAATGTTGATTTTTTTGTGTTTGCTTTTGAGGTTTTTTTTATTTCAAGACAGAATCCTTTTTTTGGCTTATTGGGGTAGCAAATAGCTTATCATCAGTAGGTAGCTGTGGCTTCATCTCACTCTTCAGGTGGACTGCAAGACAGAATAGAGGAAAACTTGAGAGAGTAAAGGAGACAGTAGTAATTAATAGACATAATATATAAATAAAACAACTGCAAAACAGATATATCTTCAAAGAAAAGGGTCTAACTACACCTTAAAAAATCATGTAGGACAGCAGAGTTTGACTGTGATTAATATTTTTCAGTTCAGGAAAATTAGTGGAGACAGAGGCAATGTGTTGGAGAAACTATAATAGCTGAAAGATGGATGGGTATCTTGTATGTGTAAGAAACAGCAGTGAATCAAGATCTCTGGTTATTGAGCCAGTCTGATATGACCTGAGGCAAACTTTATAATCTCTATTTAAAATAGTCTTATTACTTTAGTGATTGAATGCTGGGGAACACTGGTCTGGAAAGCAGGATGCTTTCAAAGGCTGAGAGAGCTGGGTCTGTTCAGCCTGGAGAAGAGGAGGCTGAGGGGGGACCTGATCAGCGTGTATAAATACCTCAAGGGAGGCAGTGAGGAGGAGGGGGGCGGCCTCTTTTCAGTGGTGGGCAGGGATAGGACTAGAGGAAATGGCTTCAAACTGAAGCATCGGAAGTTCCACAGGAACTTAAGGAAGCATTTCTTCACTGTGAGGGTGACAAAGCACTGGAACRGGYTKCCCAGAGAGGTTGYGGAGTCTCCTTCTTTGGAGATCTTTAAAACCCGCTTGGATGCAGCCCTGTGCCACRTGCTCTAGGTGACCCTGCGTGAGCAGRGGGGTTGGACTCGATGACCTCTGAGGTCCCTTCCAACCTTCGGCATTCTATGATTCTATGATTCTATGATTCTATGATGCATATGAAGTGGGCCCTGTTTATTCTTTCTATACTGAACTCTGAGTAACCCTGCATTGTGGAAGTTCTCCTGACAGGCTAAGTAGAGAATTTGGCCTTTCTTTAGCTCTGCAATTTTTTTGTATTTGCTTCAGTTATCACTGATGATCCAAATATAGAGGTACTGAAGTTACAAAAATAAACATGTAAGAAAATGAAGAAGTTAGGAATTTTTGCTTTCTTAAGAAAAATGAGATTTGAAATTTTCTACCTATGGAAATAGGAAAATACTGTGTATAGGTATTTTTATTAGAAACAATAGATTCCAAAAATGATAGATCTTTTTCCTAGGGTATTTTCTCTTGAGACATTTAAACACAKAACTATTTTTAGGTGGAAAATTGTCTTATTGGAGCTATAAGTTAACCCTTTTTCTCAGCATTCTTTGGTGGCCTGCATCATCATACATATTATAGGAGAAACCCTGCAATGTGTTAAAGAAAATGCTCTAGTTCRATGAAGGTACAGGAAAAAAAGATGAATAAAAAACCTACTATCAAGGTAACATTCACAGTTCAGTGAATGCTGCTTGTTGGAATGCAGTTGGAGGGCACTGCGGAAGAGGTAGAGGTGAATCAGGAGCAATGCTGTAAAATAGGCAGTTGGTTCAGTGCATGTGATAACGCAGATGCTGTGGAGTGGGTTCAGGAAGCTGCTCAGCTAACGACACACTTGCTGCCACCAACGTCCATGCAGAGCTCGGGTTTAGGCTGCAGAAGTGGGATTAGCCTCTGAACCATCATTCCAGGGCTTTCCTGCTGCCCTCTGAGCCTCATTGGCACAGATTACTGATGTGATTGTGCAAATCCCTTGGGCAACTGTAGCTGTYGAGAGAAAGATCCTGGAGGCTGATACCTTCCCAAGACACTGTGGCCAAGAAAGAACTGGATCTTTTAATTGCTGCCTGGTAGCGACAGCCTCTGGCAGAAGCTGAAGGGACAGGTTACTGCCATGTTAGCTGCAGCTACAGCAAGGGTTCTCTCCCTGGGGCATGGAGCTTTTCCTTCCCCTGTAGTGGTAACTGAGGGTCCTTTAGGAGACTGCAGCCATGTGATAGTAGTCTCAGAATTAGACTAGATTACCTTGAAGATAAGCTCCCATTTGAAGCTGTGTTGTCCTGATGTTTCAACAAGTACAATCCTAGAGATACTATCAAGTAATAAAATCTTTATAACATCACATGAACCTACAGATAAAGGGAGAGATGACTATTGGTTTAGTTGGAATGGGCAGAAAGAACAGTTGTAATGATTTCTGTCTTTAGGAATGTCAGATATTAACTTTAAATCATAGTTTATTCTATTAGAGACATTAAGTATTTTAGTGTAAATATGTGGAACAAATACATATTAAGAGAGTCAGAGTTTTTGCCTGTAGAAGATTCTGCAGATAAACTCAAATTGTATCTTCCATTTTGGCAACTCTTTTGAAAAACTGCCTCTCTCTCTGTTAGACTAAAACCATCTAAGGTTGAAAACATTCTCTAGTAATTCTTAGTCCAGAGAGGATATTTCAAAAKAATCTGACAGTTTTGTGTGAGCCAAATTGAAATTAGCCAGATGATGCTTAGCATGTATTGGCAGATTATATGAAGACCTTTGTAGTGCCACTTTTGAATCAAGTTGTCTCTTTTAGTTATTACCAAAACTTAAAAATAAAAATACCTACTTCTCCTATCAGTCCCCTATTACCACTGAATCAAATGCAGTTGGTAAGCTWACTATAAAGTGTGAGGGAACTAATTAAAAAGAATAATTCTGTCCTGTTTTTTGTTTAGCTCTTTTCTGAGTCCAAGGGCACCTCATTTGATTTATTTGGGTGTTGGATTCTGAACGACAGTTAAAAAAAAAATACTAATTGGAGTTCAGAAAATTTGTACTGAACCTTAAACTTGAAGATTCATTCAGTGAACCTGAACTAGACACACATGACTAGCTTAGTTAGTATGAGCATAATTTTGCTTTTTTTACTCCTGAAATTTACATTTACCAGTTAGATTTCTTTATTAATATAGATCATTGAATATAGTTCAGACAGTGATTACAAAGACCATTTCCAGTGCCAGCAGCTGGTTTACTCCTGAAATTTACATTTACCAGTTTAGATTTCTTTATTAATATAGATCATGGAATATAGTTCAGACGGTGATTACAAAGACCATTTCCAGTGCCAACAGCTGGTTGTTCCTTTTTTTTTTTTTCTTCTTTTTTTCTGGACTAACAGCTTTAGTGTTAGGGGTCATTTCCTTGCTATTTTCTGTAGCAGATTGTACCCTGTGGAAGGCCCCAGCCAAGGCAGGGATGGGCTGGACTGTGTGCCCTGCAGAAGGCCTGTGGTGCTGACTGCAGTGTTCCTGTTAGGTGCTGGGACTCTCTGCACACGTTAGCTTTCCAGTCTTGTTGGTAATTACTTTTCTAGTGCTTRCAAGTTTAGAGCAATAACACCTAGTACTAAATGGATACTTAATAAGGCAAAATTATAACAGGACTCCCATGGCATTGCACATTACATTAACACCAAATGAGTTCATTCTGAATTCATTATGAATGATTACTGTGAATACCAAAGGAATTAATAATCATTAGCCATTTACTGTGGAGAATTATAGAATAATTGCCAGATACAGCTGTATTAAGAGTTTACAAGCTTTCCTGATCAAATCTCATTCCGAAAGAATCATTTAAAGGAACTTTCTTTTCATTGGAGAGTCTCTACTTTATTCTCAATCTGTCCTCATCTGTTCAATGGTTTTCCAGTTTTAAGAGCACTTCAAAGATAGTTACTCATCCTAGTTCATTCACTAATGGAATTACTTTCCTTATCTCCATTTGGTCTTTGAGTGTCTCACAGTTGTCTTTATACAACACATCTGAAAGGTTAATAAACTTTAAAGCATGTTGGGAGACATTCAAGGGCAGAGTGACTCTGACATGACAAAAAGAATGCAAAGGCGTTAAATTTATGACTTTGTGGCAAGTAAATTCTGAAAGTAGATATCCTAGGCCTTTGATATGGTTCTTGAAAGTTCCCTCTGTTCCTTCTTGCATTTGAAGACTCAGCTGTTTTACATATCAGAGGTAGCTGACTTGAGAGATGCAGGGAGTGAGCTTTAGATAAACTTGGGTGCAATCTTCCACAAGAATTTTACTTCTCTGACAACTTCATCATGCTAAATGTCTGCAGTAGCCCCAGTTTCCACTCGCAGGCTTTTTGCAAGATGAATTCAAAAACTGTAAAGAACGTTTCTGTGTTACTTGTCATCTTAATTAGCAGTTTGATTCCTTTCCACAGTTCTGACAATATGCAGCCAAATGTTAAATCAGTGGCTCAGAAAGATTGCAAAGATGGGTAAGCGCAATTGTTCCCCCCCTACACACCCCATGGGACAAATTAAGGAACAATTTCAGTGTTAGAAGCCAGTACCCCTRGAGCCTCACAGAGTAAGGCTGTGCCTCTTCCTTGCTCACTGTCCGCAGGCAGCAATTTTCAAAGTCTAAATGTGCAAATCATCATTTGTACTTCTCTGTGACCGTTGAATCCATGTTGTAGGTTTCACTAACAGCACTCTGCCAGAAATAACATTTGTTCATAAAGCTAGCTTCATTAAATTGCCCGTAGCTAATTCCCTTTAACTCAGAATTTTACTGAAATCTCTATGAGGCAGCCTAGTGCTTCTACATGCTGTTGATCTCCAGCATAGCAATAAAAACATCTCTGTTTTAAAAGATAATACAATCACACATTTTAGTGATCTTATAATCTGGTGTTTAGGGCATCAACATCCTGTTGAAATATGCCTCAAAATGGAACACAGGGAGATAATTGCCTAAATTCTGGTACATTTAACCTSACTCTTATCAAGCTGACTACATCTAGCTCAGGTGGGGAATTTACAGCCAGTTAGTGAGGAGAGGGGAGGCTTGGCCTGGAGTTTCTGCTGTGGCACTAGGCTAATTGCAAAGCCTGGTGCATGAGGGAAGTTGGGGGCACCACGACGGGTGACGGTGTCACAGACTGTGCCAGTCCCGGCTCCAGCGGGTCTGGGCAGCTGGCTGCCAGATGGCAGGAGCTGTCACCTATGGAATAGCCACGCTCTGTTTGACCTACATATAGAACCAGCTGCATCTTCCTCCCTTAGAAAACAGGAGATAGTGCCAAATAAACTGAAGAGAATGGCCACATTTTGCAAGCTGTTCTCATCTTTTACATACACCTTACTCTGTGTCAGGTAAACTACTTTTATTTCTCAATTATAGCTACTTRGTTTGGTTGGATTTGAACTGAGTTGTGTAAAATACTAAGAACGTAACCAAGCTTATTTGCAACACTATGCAGATGCTTAYGTTACAGTAGATGAAMTAGATCATAATTCTGTGTATTTTGGAAAAGACATGGATAATTTATATTTATTCCTTTTTTTTTTTTTTTTTTTTAGTGGATAATTCTGGTATTTCCTGAGCTGTTGAGTTCTGTGTCCAGCCCATTGAAGATGAAGCATTGCTTGGAAGGTAGGCAAAAACAAAGCAAGCACAACATCACATACTCGCAGCCCGGAAGAGGCAAGAAAATCACAAAGAAATACTGTAAATGCAGAGTGTGAGGTCATTAAGTGAACAGAGTTGTTTAGATGAAACTGAAAACATAGGAAATTGGATGGCTAGCCTTAGCAGTCACACCAGTGACCATAACTTCACCAGAGTCAGGGGGCTTTCATCAATTTATTCTTGGAATAAACATTGTTCTGACTCAGTATTTGGAAGAGCATTTGAATGCTTCATTCCCCAATACACTATTGCATTTCCATACAAGAATAAAAATAGGGATTTATTTCAGATTTTTCCATRCAGGAATAAAAATAAGGATTTATTTCAGAATTAATGAGCAGAAACATGCATATAAATTCAAAGTGCACATTAAAAATCCATCTGCATGGACAGGTACCCATGATRGTGTTTACTCAAAAGATGTTCTGAGCTGACTCTGTTCCCCAGAATAAGCAGAGTTGCCACCACCATGTACTCATACCTTTATTCCTAAACTCACTTAGAACTATCATGTACGGGGGAGCTTTCAACTCTTTGAAGGTGAATAAACTCATATTTAGTGTGTGTCAAGACAGACCCAGCCAGTCAAGTAGTTGTTCTTGTGTAATCTACTGTATTATACACTGGCTTCATGCTCACCACATTCCCACTGTGGACAAGCTCCAAGTATTGTGCAGTTGTGTAGATGTCAGCATTTTTATATCATGTTTCAAGAAAGCTATCAGTAGAATTTCATTACCAAGAGAGATAACGTAAAAAGTCAAGTACAGTTCCTATAATCTGGTTATCTCTTTCCTGCTTGAGAACTATGATGTTTTCTTATCTACAGTTTGATCTATCTTCCAAAGTCTTTGTGGTATTACTATACCAGTGACATTGTCTGTCCCTCAATAAGTTTTCTGTAAACAGAGGAGTTTATGGCTTGAGTTCATCTACCTTTTTTTACAGGGTTATTCAGCAAGGATTCTGACTGAGAAGCTAGTGCAAGACAGAGGCCTTCACTGCTCAGCCAGCCTGAGGCCAGCCTCATCTGTGACCTGCTCTGCAGAAGCCCAGCGGGGCTGAGCATCAGTTACTTTTCCATGTGTGAAAGTACAGGGCCGATGGAGAAGGCAAGGATCTTAACCTTGAGAATTTGCTAGTCAGCCGTGTTAGGCAGTGGTCGTGATTCTTTCAGACCATCAGTATATCTAAGAGTAAAGCACCCTTGGTGTMTGAGTGGAGTCACTCATGCAGAGCTCTCTCTTTCATTGTTTACTTGTGTTGTTACTAAGGCTTTGTTTATTATAAGGAAGCTTAAATTAACATGCCATCCTTCGGACAATGGAGCAAAGCCTGGTCTCAGGCATTTACTATATTATAAGTATTGATAAGTCACTTTTCARTAGTGTTCCAACTTTCTTATGTATAGAATGGGGTTGATAATACTGTCCTGTAAAAAGAATCTGAGTCTAGCTGATAAACGGTATTTCCTTTCCAGTGGTACTGGAAGCAAAGGAAATATTGGCTGTGAAACAAGTTTCTGTTTCTTCCCTTAATCTTATGTTTTTACAACTGACACAAATTGTTCAGTTATATCCCCTTGTCCCACATCCATGTATTTGGAATATTAATCATGGAACATAGGGAATGTTTACAGAGGGAAGGTGTATGGCTGTCTTCTATTTCCCCCTTGGAGACATCCTTTTAACTGCATTCAGACAGAAGATGGCATGGCTTTCTTGGTGGCATAAACTCCAGCACGATCTAGTCAGCCACTGCCCAGCAAGGTACAATTTAAAACTGAGTAAACAGGGGGAGAACGAAGGGTGAGGGGTGGGAAGGCAGTAATTCCTAGGACATGTTCCATTTTTATTTTGCAAATGCCTCCATGTTCACTGTCTGCATCTGTTCTAGAAAAACTGCTTTACTGCCAGGTACATATACAAAAAAAACAATAACTTAAAAAGGTTTTTACCAACTTCAAAAATTGCATCTTTACCYAAAAGTTTTGTGTCATTTTATAAGAAGATGCAAGATCTTGAAGTTACTTTCYTTCTCAGGCGTCAGGAAGCTAGTAGGTGGAAAAGGAACAGAAACAACATAAATTTCCAACTAATGAGCATGAGGCAAGATCTTTTCCAGTCCACAGATAAAATTTCTCACAGAACTGACTCATGATTTTCTGAAGCTTATTCTGGTCAGAAAATTCTTTTCCTTTAACAGTTCCCTTGCTGCCTGATTCAGAACTCTTCATCTATCATTCAGTGTGTTATTCTGAGATCCTTCTCATTTCTCCATCTTCAGGGAAAAGTTTTGAAATGGCAGAAATTTTTACAGTACAGGAAATGTTTTCCTATTCAAAACTCATGTGGTTTCTCTAATTAGTTTTAAAAATTAGTAAAAAAGAAAAATAAAAGCAAAACAAGCAAACAAAAAACCTGCTCTATAATTAAAATACATCCTTAAAGAAATTAGAGAGGATTTTCTCCTTTAGCTRCAGAATGCCCTGAAAAGTAATATGCCATGTATATATATATATATCAAATCCATTCAAGAATAATAAGAAGAATGCTTAAAAAAACAATTGCCAGATCCTAATTTAAGGAATTATTGTCTTGGCATATTGATAGAATAGCTTGACAAAATGATCAGTACAAGCTGTCTTATTTCTAGTTCCCCTCAAAATTTAATGCTGTCTCTTCTGTATCCTGAAGATGTAGCCAGTAGGTGCCCATATTAGAAAGGACCTAGAAAGGAGGCAGGATTGGTTAGAAGGCACAGTTCTTTACACTAGTTGTACAAAGTATTTCACATTTGTTTTCCCCAGCTGGAGATATGTGCAGGTGCCGAATTTCCTGAGAATCTTGGTATTGCCCTGGTCCTCACAGGGTTACTTAGGAATCTGTGCACTTGCCTCTTGATTTCATATTTTAACAAATAAAGGATCTCTTTACAAACATAATAARGTCATGATATCAGGTCACTGCTTTTCTCTATAACAGATTTTGTATCTATTTAGTACATTTCTTTATAACAGATTTCACCTGTATTTCATCCTGTCTGCAAATCACTAGAATCTTTGAGAATYTTAACATTGTGTTTAAATATGCACTAAAACTAAAAACCAACATTTGCCCATGATTTCTGCTTATCTACAAATTACTGGCAAGGATCTATAATTGAACTGTAACTTTAACTTTCATATGGGTCAATGCCATCCATGTTAGTGACTCACATATTTAGATCATAAAAGTAATTTCCAAGAGGTGTGGAGCATAGGTGGGCTGAACCACTCGGGCTGCTTTATAAAACGAGAGCCTTGGGCCATCTGCACTTACCTGTTCTTCTTTGTCCCAGCAGCTCTTGTGCTCTAGCAGCCCTATCACCAGGACAACATGGCATTCACAGGCAAATATGAAGTAGAAAGTGATGAGAACTATGATGACTTCATGAGGAAGATTGGTAAGTGTGTTCTGAAGAGTAAGTCTCATTGGGTATAAGTTAGTTTAAAATGCTTATAAAGGAAGAAGGAGGAAAGGTGAGTTTCCTAAAGTGGAAATGCAAGACTATGGTCTTGCAGAAATAGTGGCAGCAGAATGAAAGGTTAAAATATTTGCAGCGTAGTAATCGTGAAGATCACTTTTATCATCCTCAGTATCATTAGTGAAAGTATAAGTTTGAATATGAAAATAGTTGTCACTGTCTATGTCTTACACAAGAAGAGATTTTTGTGAATGCTTTTGGAAGGCTCATTCCATAAACCTGTTGYATACATTATCCCTCTCAGGAAAAAAAAAAATCAATCTCTCAGGAAAACTAAAATTTGTGGCCATAAACGAGGAGCTTGCCTTCTTTTATTTAAACCTTAATTACACTTAGTAAATAGGTATTTGTAGCACTATGGTGCAGACACAAGTTCATGCATATGACATTTCATGAGTCTGTATAAGTAGACTGAGCAAGYAGAAGTAAAAATTTATCTTGTATGTACTTGATATCTATTTATCTGTATATGTTTTCTAATGGTTAAAGAAACAAGACCAAAACCTATTATTAGCAAATGTATTGATGTCCCTATATCTTTCCATATACCAGTAATTTACCTTCTGATCTTTGATAATTCCAGGAAAAAGAAACATAAGCTCTTCAAACATGAATTTCTGAGGGAAAAAAATATACCATTAAAAAGATATTACATTTAACTTTTTTTTTTAATTTATTAAGGTATCCCCAGTGACATCATGGAAAAGGGAAGGAATTTCAAAATAGTCACTGAGGTGGTACAAAATGGAAATGACTTCACCTGGTCACAGCATTATCCAGGAGGCCACTCCATGACCAACAGATTCACAGTTGGCAAGGAAGCAGATTTGGAGACAATGGGTGGTAAAAAGTTCAAGGTAAATTAATTTAGTTCAAGTTCTACGTGTGTCAGTTGTTATTTCTTAATTTAGGGTTTAAAAAAAAAAAAAAAGACACTTAGGGACTTCTTCCTTACCTTTCTTTATTGTGCATTTACCATAGTTTTTTCTATTCTTCATAGCTTAAACATATAGTATTTACCTTTTCCGTTCCTAAATGTCTCTAGCAAAATATATAAATCTGATTTCAGAATGTATGTAACAATAAAGAGTGAGAGTAGTGGCAAGTATCTGCTAGTGTCATAGCTCAAGGAAACCTGATGCTCATTGAAGTTCCAAAGAAGGGGCTGGCAGCTCTCCTCCCTGCAGCACCACGCAGCGAGCAGAGTGTGTCTGTGCCTGACAGCAGTGCTGTGCTTAGGTKACCTGAGCCTTAAGTACTGTGTAAGATGAAGAAAAGAAATGTCTCTCCATCCTTCTTATTGAAAATATGGAGCAATTTGCAACTTAAGGAGCTTCTAGTGACAAGGAAACTTAACTAATATTTTTATAATTAGGGAAATGAAACATGCTTTTTTTTTTCCCCTGTCATGACCAAAACCTGCTTATAGGARCAGCTGCCTAAAGGTTACTTTACTATGTTAAATCTGCTTAAAAGGATCAGACAGTTGGGAAAGCTAAAATCAGCATTTGYAGCCTGTTACAGAAGGCTGAATAGATGCCTTTTATACACTGAAGAGACAAGAAAASTGGGAATTGCAATAGGAATTGTAGCAAATTGAGCAAATTGAGAAGCATTTGCACTTCATGATTTCCAGAGCGCTTTGCTTTTTGTTCTAAAAGAACAACAACACCAAAGTCATAAATGTGTTTAGTCTAGAGAAACCTTTATGAAACTTAACATATGGAATGAGATTCCTTGCATCTGSTAAAAAATGTCCACTCTTCATTTTGTATTTTTTTTCCCCCTCACAATGTCACTGGTTAATCTCTTTATGATGGAAAGCACAGGCAAGACTGATTCTGTGATGGAAACACATAGCTTGGTTTGGCTGTTAGATGAACTGCTGTGGTATTTATGTACTGTATATACTCCTTCTATGCAAAAATCGGTCATACAGTAACTGGCATATACCATAATATAAAGATGTGACTGCAGACTGTGCATATTTGACAGAGATGGATGAACCCTAATTTTTTTCATAGCCAGAGGAATGAAAGTGAGTATCGAGGCTAATGTCCATAGTGACTTTTATGCTGTTACAGGCATGTTATTGAGAACTGAGAGTGCTAGTTAGAAATTAACTCAGAAAATTATGCCATTTACTTCACTGTTAATATAAAAGAACCCCATAAAACCTTGAAACCTGAACATGAGAAGCATAGTTTGTATGCTTCCCATGCTAACCGAGATCATTTGGGTTTTATGGCCAAACATTGTCTGTGATTTACTGTAAATATGGAACTTGTGTTGTTAGTTTTTTGGGGTTTTGTTGTTGTTGGGGTTTTTTTTGTGGTTTTTTTTTTGTGGTTTTTTTTTTGTTTGTTTGTTTCTAATTTAAAATGTGGAAGTCTTTACTTAAGAAGCAAAGGTCAAGGATTTTTGGTTGTCTTCACAAAGCTGTATCTGTACTACCCAAGTCTTTACAACCTTTAAAATATGTTTACAGTGCATTGAGAATATAAATACCACTAAGCCAAAGAACATTAAACTTTTTTCTATTACAGGCAACTGTTAACATGGAAGATGGCAAAATAGTAGCAGATTTTCCCAACTATCATCATACTGCAGAGATTTCTGGAGGAAAGCTGGTAGAGGTGAGTTTTCAAATATCCAGATTACTTAAGATCCTTAAGATCAACAGCCCTGAACTTTGAATGTGTGTACCTTTGAGGGGAAAAAAAAAAACTATTAACTTCAGTCTGGATAGACCTGTAAAATTTTGTCTAGTTTAGTTCAAAAAGCAGTGAACAAACTTTTTATTATGTATTTTAAATGGCTTTGTAATATGTCAGGTATCTTAAGCACAAGCACACACTTTTACAACTACAAGAGCTTAGAGGGTCTGGTCTGAAATATTGCCCAATGTCTGTATCGTTTATTGCATTCATTCCGCTTATGCCCCAGGGCTAGAAAAAAAAAGGTAGACTTTTAACTTGCTACTTAATGAGTACTTTGTATAAAACTTCAGAAAACCAATTTGCTAACTCCTAGCAGAATGTCTATAATGCCTGGATTCCCCTCGATTTCCTCAGACTTACCAAAGGAAAGAATAAATTCAAAAGAGGTTAGATTTCAGATAACAGCTTTATCAACAATAAACTCAAATGGCATTGGAAGATTATTAAAACTACAACAATACTTACTAAAACTTGTAAGAAAGATGGGGGAGTTCCGAAACATGATGATTTCTGATTCTCAAACATCCTCTTGAATTATTTCATCACACACGCATAATTYGTATGTCTGAGTGTGTCTTCAGCAGAGACTACCCACAAATAAACTACTGTGTGAAACAAGAAAGGATTCTTACCATCACTGAAAACGATACTGTCAATATTTGTTTGATTTTCAAGCACAGTATCTCAATTGTCTTAAGTAGTATCTTATATACTCTATAGTATCTTCAAGGTGGAGCCATATCGAACACAGAAAACTTCTAAGATATCCCTAAATCCCTGCTTTGGAGTTGTGCTTCTGTCACAGTATTTCTGTGTAAATCAGGACACTTACTGGAGARTAAGTCTTGCTTCACTATCAGATGAGTTCTGGGAGCCAGCTACCATGTCCTTTCATTTATGTCATGAAGCTTCAACTCCTTTCAACAATATTTTGATTTGTTCTTTATTACAGATTTCTACTGCTGGTGGTGTAACCTACAAAAGAATCAGCAAAAAGATTGCTTAAGGCAGTAAGGCCAGTCTTCCAGTGCACTGAGAAATAAACAACACTACAAATTAATAAAATACAGTTCTGATTTCTCTTTGTCTTACAAATGTGAAGAATTTCTTTCAGAGCAATATTCTTCCCAACATATGTACTTTTTCAATTCCTAAACTTCAGATAAAAGGAAGGCTTGATAAAAAAATTCTCAAGCCACGCAGTGCTGAAACCCTTGAGTGATGTTTCTGTAGTTCAAATGTTTCAGGATAGCATTCATACTTGGCACACACAAATGTCATCTACCAACTACTTACTAGGCCTCTGCAGCTTCAGACTGGAGACTAGGACAATATTCTGCCCAAGACACATACCAAAATGTAAGAGCTGAGGAAAGTCTTTTACCTCATTGTTGGTTGCATGATAGAAAATTAGGAGCTTTAAACCAAATAAYAAATGAAAATAGTTAACCTGTCATGAAAATGTGTGCTTTTTACTCGTTCTACTGTGTTAATTTTCTCAGAGTACTGCCATCATGGTTGCCTTCTTCTCCTCAGTATATTTTCTTGACCCTTTTGAGGCACCTGAGGAACATTTAGGGTTTTTCAAACTGATTCTTGGGAAGAAAGTAATTTCTCTAATGCCATCTTGATTATTGAACACCTATGAAAAWATCTTTTCTTGAATGCAATAAGTAAATAGATAATTTAGAACTGTAAACCCAGAAAGTATTTCTAGCCAATGTCTGGTCCCCAAAGCTTTCAGAGACCGATTATAAAGTGCTTTTTCCTATCTGCCTCTTGCCTTATGGCTATTTGCTCTAGCTAATCACAAACATCATTGGCTAACCATTGCTAGCCCACAGCATGTTTCTTGTGTGCACAGAGTTCATTTTTTTGATGTACCTGACTAATAATCCTAATTGATCAGGGTATTTTAAACTGAACAGCTTTTTCAATTTCTTATCAATACAGACAAGGTTTCACGCCAGCTGTATCAGTCACCAGTCTGCCAGAACAGACTCTACATAGTATTTTGTTCTCAAGCATGCTGTTAGAAAGCATGGTGCTGAACACTACATTGGAGATACATGATTCCAATTTGAAAACACTTCAATTTCAGAACATTCTTTTGATACATACAACAAATACATCTATAGATGTCACAAAATTTTGTTAAAATTAAACCTCCTTTGTCATAGTGGTGAACGTAAGCGCTGCTATTTTTTTTTCTTCCTCCTCTCAACATGAACATGCTGTTTGGATCCTACTCCCCCCACCTGTAGTCTTGATTTTGTTGAAAACAAAACTGAGCAAACTGTCYAAGTGCATCACCATCACAACATCCCAGGGCTGCCAAGTCAGCCCTTYCTCGGGGTCCTCTAGAGCACACACTGAGCCATTTGGCCAGCTGTACAGAATTTTGCTTCACTCAACAGATAGCGATCTGAAAACTTAAAACAATGCTGTAAACCCCCAATGGAAGGTCCTTTGGCAGACCATGAATAATGACTTCATTTTTTGACAGATAACCATGCTATATGAGGCAAATAGAAAAGTTGTTAGAATCACACAGTAAAGCCCTTKCTTTGAAGTTATTGAAGTCTGTGCAGGGAAGGGAAGCCCTCTCATAGTGACTGACTGGAATGTAATCATAAGGGTAAAAATAAGAACTTATGGTAAAATATGGAACTTAGAATTAGAAGGAAGGCATTAAGTTTAGGTATGTGTACAATGATATAATTGCTAAGTGGAACAAACTATGGAAAAGGTGAGAAATGTCCTATTACATCGAACATCTCAGTAGAAAGTTGCATTGACACAGATTACTCATACCCATTGGTAAGTCGGTATGTTTTCTTTAGAGTATAGTAAACCACAATGAATGTAGGTAAATAATCTTTTTTTGGATTTTACTTCTGCAGAAACCTTTTTTACTTCCTATAAAGTCTGGCAGGGAAGTACAGGTTAGCAGCTTGTGAGAGTTCTGAGGCACGTGCAGGCTGTGACTGACAGCAGCAAACAGCACAAGCCTGGGCAGGACATTTTGCATCCATTCAATTTTAAAAAGGAACTCAGCTTTGCATRCACCTCTGCAACAACCTTCAAGTAACTGTGGCAAAATAATGTTTAGAAAAGTGGCTTTAGGTTGCCTGAACTCTTCCACATACTCTCATCTGAAGAGGTATGCCTTCACCCAGAAAATTATATTCACATCAAACAAATATTTGGAAGTTAAATGAGTGGAATCCCCAGAAACATTAAAGCACTCYGAAGGGAATGTTAAATCAAAACAATAATCAGCTTTAACTTCTAAAGTCTTGTCCTTCCCTTTCAGAATGTTACCTGATTTTATCTGCCTCAAGTCCGCAGTTGATGCAAAGCCACAAGCCCAGCGTAGAGAAGTCAASGGGCAATGCCTGTGTAGAACATGCAGTCACAGAAGCAGGTAGACTGTGCACACACATGCTCTTCTAGTCGGTCTTTTCATCTCGTGAAGATGACACACGTTGAGAAATACTGACAACAAACTGGAAAAGTTAATTCCTGTGTTATGTTCCAGCATGTCCCTGTCTATTTTCCACCTCTAACCATCACCCACCTCTAATCATCATTTATACTTTCTTATGTACCAACATTTTATTCTAGGGATAGAACCTCACTTCCTGATATTTTTAATTCATCAATTTGGCAAAAAGGCTTTCCATGACATTTTATTACATTTACCTTCCATAAAACACTGTGGGTGCTCAGAAGATGTGTTTGTAAGATGGAGATRCATAATCTTTGTTAGTTCTTGAAAGATAAAGAAAAACACTATAAAATTAAGACGGGCACTTCAGTTTTATGTTTATTTGAAACTTCCATTAGGAACTTCACAAGAATTTTCACAATTAAYTGTGGTATCAGTCTAAAGCATAACAGGGCACAGGACCTGCAGTATAGAAGGGTGATTAAAAACAAAAGACATGTAACAGTACTGCAGCCTACAGGTGGTTCTTTATGGCTGCCAAATGACAAATTAAAATAAAAAAAAACTTTCATTTTCAGAAAGTTTAGTATAAATACAAAAACCAGCAGAATAAGTGAAGGACTACATTTTCTAAACTTTTGGACATTTTTGAAGAGAATCGCTTCCTCCTTTACAACTTTTTTTTTTTTTTTTTAAATTAAACATTTTTTAAAAAGTCTACTAGGCATGGAAGAAATTTATTCCTGCTATACAAAAGACTGCATTCTGGGGAGAAAGTTACATACACCCCCAATAGCCTGCATGCTGKTTTTTCTCTTTCACCCTAAAAACGGTCTTAAAAGTAGTTTTCTAAAATGACAATTTAAAACAGCACYGACTGACATGCAACTTTGAAAACCTGCCTCAAGTCAGTAAAACATATTGCACATTACCTGTATTGCTGTCCTGAGAACCTTGATATAAACACATCCTCCTGCCTTCACAGGAATTCACAACAAAGTTTGCATATCAAAACTAGAATTTCACATTTGCAAAAGACTTGTTTCTTGTGAACATCCACATTACCTTTCAAAACAAAGTAAAACTACAAAGAATTTTTTGAGCCAGCCTCCTAGTTTTAGTTAAAAGGGAAACCTTTGGATATGCTACAGGAGGTGTACGTCATTTGCAAAGAAGCAATGTGATCTCTTGTTTAACGGCTATATTTTCAATACAATGCCAAGATTATATTGGGGGGGGGGGGGGGGSRGGGGGRAAATGTTCAACAAACTGATTTCAATTGTAAAGTTAGCCAGTTCCCTGTGTCTGCCTCCAATGGCACAAATTCCTCTGTCCTAAGCTTGAACTTCTTCCACAAGACATGAAACCCAAAAGATAAAATAACTGAAGGGAATGAACTTCAAGAGGTCCCCCACACACACACACACACACACACAAGGATTTCTTCAAGTAACATTAAATCCCTGATAAAGACCATAGAAAATTTACTAACAGACTCCAGTTTCAGAAAGCAGCAACATCTTGTAGACCTAAATGCTGATTTAAGATTGAATTTTCTTTAACAAGTGAAGGCAGAGCAATGGTCTGTTCAACAGCAGCACATCTAGATTCCAAGTGAGTTTTAAGGCAAGAATGATTTCAGGAGTCCTCTGGTCTGTTTTTCTTTTCTCCCTTTGTTTTCAAGTCTTGCTCCTAAAACTATCACTCCTGCTYAAAGAAAACAAAGCATTCTACACATTGATTTCTGCAGAGAATACCAGTGTGAGCATTAGTATAAGCAACATCCTTTTTCAGTACGTTTTTAGCTGAAGCTTCCAGTAGTATGAGCTGCCACGGTTCCGGAGAGGTGTCCTTGGGAAAGAGCAAGAGCACTGCGTGTCTTCCAAGAACAGCTACACGTCCGACAAGCACAGGCTTTCAGCAAGCTCTGACAAGTCACCAGCAGCAGACCAGCAGGAAGTAATTTCCATAGATTTTCAATGTCACTTTGAAAGTCACCTGCATAAAGTGAAGTATGTTATTGCATTTCTATTTCTCTCTCTCATTACAAGCCAAAAGTACAGTGTTTGTCAGAAAGGCACCCACTTTTCAGCGATCAATGGATCCAGCTCAACATCCCGTGAATGAGCAAGCTGTAAGGATTCTGTTCYTTCATGATTTTCACTCAGATAAATATCTTGGCTCACATACTGGGTTGTTAGCATCTTGATGGTACCTTTTCTTCCCCACGATCAACACCTAACCATCAAAACACCCAGCTGCACATGCGTGATGACCACTGAAGTAGCTGCTGCCATAAGCCGTGGAGAGGCAGCGTCCGGGCCCTGTCCCCAAGGCCACCAGGGTGGCAGCAGGTGCCGGCACGGGCAGGCCCTGGGCGGGTGGCTGGACACCAGCCTGAAGGGCAGTGTAAGAGCCCAGAGAGCTCCCAGCGAGCGGCCGGCTGGGCCTCGGTGCCTGCAAGGAGTCGCGATAAGCAGAGCACAAATCTTGCACCGGTGGCTGAAACTGGGAGAGAGCAGCTGTATGTCGGGCTAAAGGGTGATAGCTGGATTGCTGAAACAGGACTTGGGTAGTGGTTTGAGGGCTCAGATTTTCCRTTACTTGCTGTTGATGTATTGTTACTTGCTTTTTTATGTTATTGGCTTCTTTGATATYGTTCTCGTAATATCTGAAACAAAATGCAGATTATCAAAAAGAAGTTCTTGGGAGAGCTTACATAGATCCCAGGGTTTTCACCAGTGAGGCTACACCATCAGCTTTTGGGGCTTTGCTATGTATAACAAGTCTTGAATACTTTTACCATCTATGAGCACCCTCATTTAGATCTTTAAGGATATATTACAAGAGTCTCTACCGAGGAAGCTGTCTCTGAATTAGAGATCAAGCCTTTGACAGATTAACACCAATGAACCCACATTGCATTGATAGGTGCTCATATAGCAGGCCAGTATTGAAGTATTACAGGCACATCCTTTGCTGGAGAAGGGAGCAAAGAATAGTGCTGGAATGGTTCTCCCAGCTACATTCATGATGTTATGGATAACTTGCTGCAGAGAGACACCATGGTATATTGCAGGTATAGTGAAAACAAGAAAACTTGCAGCAACCAGCTGTAAAAGCTTCCAAACATTCATACAAGCAACTGGTACAAGACTATGTAATGAAGACCAAACACTGCTCAACTTCCTCCATTACAAATATGGATAAAATAGAGAATTTAGTAAAAATCACCTGCTCTTCTCCTTTTATGCTTCTCTACACTGAGATTGTAATCGATAAYATATTGATTATAGCTATATAAGCACTGTACATAGATGTATATAAAGCTATTATTAGCATCTTACTAAGAGCACAAGTTACTCAAGTTCTGATCTTACATAAGCATCATCTCAATGCACTGGGCAAGATGCTCCCAGGAGTAAGATGTTAGCAATTCAAGCTGTTTTGTCCAGGCAGGAGAAATCTGCATACAGATACGTGAAGYGCACACACAAGCTGCAGCAATCAATGATGGACGAAAAAGAAGGAAAGTGTGATCTATAAAAGAAAAGAAAAAAATCATACTAATACACTAGCCTGAAAGCTACCATTTGGTCTCAAATACTCAACTGAAGTCGACTATTGACACTCACACATATATTTACATTAGCTTTGAGATTGGCTTAKGAGGATGCTGCAGTTCACGTGGACAGATGTGCCTCTCACATGGACAGATATCAGAAGTTATGATGCAAAGCAAATCCTTAAAAGCCCCACTATTATTTCATGTCATAAAGAATAGGACACACCTTGCACTGAGAAATCAAGAAAGTAATATGCGTATTTCTSCAAGAAGGGTTTGACTTTGGTCGAGGAGGTGATGGGCCAGCCATTGTGAAGGTCATTCTCGCCAATGGAAGCAAAGAGGTAGTAGTCGATGTAGTGTGCTGGCGTGGGCAGGCAGAGGTTCCAGTTAAAGTTATCCAAAAGCAACAGTTCCATTCTGAGTAAATCTTTCTTGTTCAATATCACGTTCATGCTGTACATATACACCAGGCTGTTCAACTGCTCCAGCTTTGGAACTCGATCTTCTTTTTCTTCAAATTTGCCTGCCAGAAAATGTACTTTTCAGGTAAGGCCTGTGGTTATGATCAAATGTCCAAAAGCCAACAAAGAATACCTCTAAAACCTGGCAGTCTAATCATGAAAGGTGTTTTCTAAAGGTAAACAAAAGAGGGACATGAAAGTACAGGAAAAGAGTCAGACTAGTCAGCATATTCTCATATCTTTTTTATARTTTTTTTGAATTGCTTATACAAAACTAAGTCTAAGATGCACTTACAGGGATAGCTGAGCAGTAGGGATGAAAGAATCTGAGAAATGTAAGACTCATGATTTCAAAGATATAAATTTATAYACTGCAGTACTCTTTTTGAATATATTACATGCTTAAACAATAAGCAACACTAAATTTGATATATCTTTGTTTAAAAAAATTTCCATGAGGAAAAAAGAATGAAGCATAGCTACAAAAGAGATGTGTTATAAGATGAAGAAATTCATTTAAGAATATGAAACTTAATATTCAATGAGGATGGGTTGCATATAATTTTAATCAATTTTTCAGTAATATACCAAAATTTTRCTCTCCAGGAGTATTTTGAGCAGTTTTCTGACAAATCCTGTCTGAAGGAGTTTCAATCTCTTCTGCTGACCAGCACTCCAGAACAGCAGAGGTAGGAGTGCTGCAMTTACTTAGGTCAAACAAGCTCTAAACTTGACTGCAGCTCCTAAATGCCTCTGTGCTTCTTGATCAACAGGCTCCCAGCTCTGTTCAAGTTGACTTTCTTCCCTGTATTTCTATTTAAAGTGGTGAATAAGACTGCTAGCACCACTTTCACTAATTTGGCAATTGAATAACTGGCATATTTCATGTTAAGATCGAACATGGGCTTTAGGTAGGGGTGGGGAGCAGTGTTCTAGGTGAGAGGGTTACATGTAGCASTCTTAACTAGCAATCCTGACTATTTTTAGTTTTGATGAACTTTCATTGTTAGAGATAGATTCTTTAAAAAGAAGGYGGTATTTTAGTGCCAAAATCTTGAAGACTAAGATGCAAGTTACTAGTTTTCTTTATTCTTGACAGGTAAATTGAAGATATTCATCTTTGCTAGGCAGACTGCCATRTCCTTCTAGGTCATTTGCAAAAGACAGCTCCTCCCTATTGTAACTTTAACAGCTTCTTACTAAATAAAGTAAAGCAGCACGTCACCTTAAGTCAAGAGATTCAGAACCACTGAGGGTACATGTCAGGACAAACAAGCCCTTTTATCACTCAACAGTCCTGTGAAGTTTCCCTTTTTTCAGCTAGAATTGCTCCTGTGGTTCTGCCTTTCCCTTGTGTCCACACTGGGATGTGGCTGAGCCCTTCCTTTCCTGCTATATGGCACGTCATCTCACCAAACTAGCAGGAAACCACTTACCTGAAGTTTTTCTGMAAAATTAGTGATTTGCTCTTGGCACCAGCTCACCAAAAGAAGGCCATCCTTCCCACCCCACAGTACAGCTACTATCACTTCCTATTGCCAATCTCTCCTTTCTGCTGCTGCTTCATCCTGGAGAGCAACCCGTCATCTTTACACATGCAAACACTYCCCACAACACCCTGTCTGCACCTACATTATCCTTTCACTGAAGCTCAAGGAAGAGTTCACTACTTTGCTGACTACAGATAAGGAGGCAATGGGRTAAGGGGGAAAAAAAGGCTTATTTTCTCTCTTCTGGTCTCTCCCCAGCTGGCAAAACCAGCACGTACAGGCAGCAGCTCATTTTAGAAGCAGCATAGTAGCTTTAAACCAGTGTAGAGGTAGGATGTACCCACATCATTACAAGGCTGTGAACTGTGAGTTAAAATGCAGTGAAAAGCTCTATCCTCTACAGCTGTCTATCTTGTTCCTGCTACAGAAACATTGCAGCTACTCACACAACAGCTGGCAAACCAATACCAATATACCCAGAGTGCATGGCATGGAAAATCAAAAATCAACATCTGTCTTGCTACATTGGGCTTATGAACTGCAACGGCATGTTTGTTATCCCAGTTGATATTGAGAGGCTGCAGACAAATGTGGCAGCTTCCAGTAGACAACTGGTGCCACTGCAGCCATCCCAAATTAAACCGTGCCTGTTCAGGGATGAAAGGTCCCAGAAACACCCTWAAAGCATTCAAATTTAGTTCTTCAGAATATAGAATAAAATAGTTCCCAAAGGTAGAGAGGTTAAGAACCTATTACATTTTGATGTATTAAACTACATTTGCTATGAAGTATTTTACGCTAAACACCAGGATTTTTTTTTAAATAAAATTTTTGAAAACAGAATGCCAAATTCTTGCCAAAATACTCAGTAACACRATGACTTTGAGAAAACATGTCAGTTTGCAAACTTCCTCTTGGATGCAGGTTTCAACTTGTCTTCACTCARCCCTTACATACTCTTAACCCATAGCAGGAGAAGCCATTTCTGTCATTTCACAAGTGAACACAATTAACTGATGACTATTTAGAGGTTGAACCAGACTCTGCTATATTAGAGCAAATAACATAACCTCAGATATGCCTGAAATAGAACTGTAATCACCAATTTGAATGCTAGGCTATTATAAAACCTTTAGCTTTATTTTATATCTACGTCTTAAAGTAGCGGCTGTCCAAGAATTCTTCACATCAAGGTAGCCTGGAAGTCGCAGTTCCCTCATGCATTCATTCCTTCATCAAAACTGTTGTGGGGAGAGGGAATAAGAGGACAGAAAAGTTGCTGTCCGTTCTTCTCAAATTGCCTACAAAGCAAAGTTTTAAAACTAAAAATCCCAGTAACTTCAAACCTCAGTTCTTTGCTTACCCTAACAGTTCTCCAACACCCTCTCTACTCCTCAAATCATTTTAAAAGCCAGTTTTCTGACAGAAACTGAAAGGAGTTTGCTAAAAGGCATTCAGTCAAGTGTGAAGAAAGGATGCCGTTTGGGGAAAGCACAGCAGCAAAGGAAGATCTAATACAGACAAAGAAAGCTCCTTTGGGTATGTCATTTGGAAGCTAAATGCACAATCTACAAAAAGGAAGACATTAAAACCCCTCTGGCAAGGCCACCTTTGCCCTTGCTGCTTCAGAATTGCTCTTTGTTCCTTCCTGTCTTGGAGGGCCTCATTAGCAAGGGTCACTGAGAGGCTAGGAGAAGTGCACTGAAACCAAGTGATTTACATAAATAATTCCTCTGAGATTAGGAGAAAATGTACATTTTCAGGGTCAAAACAGCTGAGCAGAGCCTCCGCKTTTTTATAGTTGCATTTGGTTCCCAGGAGAGGACCTATCAGTAAGAAAGCAACAGTGTTATTTGCTGCAAACCTAAGAAAGCACTTAAGTATTCTTAAATTTACAATGTTCTCCAATCAAAGATGACCTGTCTACCAGCCTTGCTTGTTTCAGAAGCTAGTGACAATCTAATAATAATAATAATGCATAATTCCAATACTGCTTAGAGAGCTTCCTTACTACAAAATTCAAATGCATTATTCAGGAGCATGGCTATTTAAAGGTACACTGTAATCATTGTTGTTCTTTGGTCTTGAAAGCRTATAGTCTAACAACTGATCTGTGCTTCAATGGGCCTTCTATCCCGTCTACAAGGGTCCTACCAATGTGTTATATGACTTGAGTGTACTTGTCAAATCTGAAAATAATTTAAAACAGTATGACACCCGAAAATTATTTTAGAAGTTCTTACTATCCACTTACAGTAGCAATTCCATCCAACAATGTCTCCAGTGAATTAAAGACACAGAATTTTCTATATTTACCAGCTAAAAATTGTCTTAGCACATTTAAAGATGTCATTTCTTTGAGACAGTTCAGATATGATGGGAATGGAATGCATTAAAAGTCTGTAAGAAATGTGCATAGAGAAGTCCCCCCACCATAAAGGAGCATAACAGTCACCAAGAAAAGCAAAAACCAACCATCACTTGAATTAAAATAGGAAAGGAGTACAGGGATGCTATTGGTGAAAAAAGTCAGTTTTCCCGATGCTGCTGATAGTATACTGGCCAAACTAGGAGCATCTGCCACATGTCCAGGAAAGTAAAGATGAAATTTGTCATTCTCACTTCTAGAAGTTCAACTCCTACTTTATTTCCACTTGGACATTTCCACAGGTCAGACTGCAGTCCAGAGAACAAAATCACCACGGTACCTCCAGAAAGGTATTGTGCCAACACAGGGCAAAGCTGTTTGCTTTAGCCAAGATATTTTTAAGACTAATCAAGAGCAACAAAGTTTAGTGATTCAAGATTCCCTTCCTCAACACTCTTTAATTCTAGTTTTGTCGTCAAGTACAGCAGTTGTCCCTACAGCAGACTGAAGGTACTGAATATATCTAGATACATTGAAGAAAGATTTGAAAACTCTGACACGGAGCCAGGTGAAGTGTAACCATGTCAAAAGTTCCATGTCAAATGAACTATGAAATTGGAGGATACGAGCTACTACACAAAGCAAGGTACCAACAACTTCATCACCTTTAGCAATTCAACTTGGATATAAACACCTCACTTCCAAGTTTATTAAGCACTTCACATCTATTTTGAATTTGAAATCTGGAGAGGAGACCAAAAGTTACTTCATTGCATCAGACCAGAGTTATAATATGCAAACTGGACAAGGGTAAATTTAACATGYTTTGACATACAATTTCTCCTATTTCTGTTCATTTTCTTCTATAATCTGAAAGTACCAGAATATTTTATTCTGACTTTTATTACTTTAGCATAACAGAAATTCAGATTCTATGTACAGAATATTTATACTCAGAAAACCAAGGTCTCCAGCACAATTAGTTCAAGAATGTTAAAGACTTCAACAAAATCATTGCAGGCCTAGCACAGACCAAACAAATAACACTGACTGATTTAACCAACACTACCCYCCCCCATTTTTTTTTTCTGCCAGGGACTGAGAAGAGCGGTTGGAATAAATAAATAAAATGATTCAGCTGCAATTTTAGCTGGAGTTCAGAAGGACTGCGTGTCTACGTCATTTGAATGCTTTTGAAACGCTA